CCATGGCCAACTGTATCGGCCAAGAAGCAAGAATATCTTATAATGTCTTGAACATGCATACATCAGTGGGATGCCAATTTTTATTTTTATTTTATTTTTCAAGGGATTGCAAAAACATCATCATCTTAAAGTCTTTACTGCCTGGCAGCACAAAGAGAACACTTTTCCAGAAATCAATAGAACAATAATGATCTTCAAGGCTACTCCAAGTATTACCTGAAAAGTTTTCCCTTGAGAACCCTGGATATATTTGACATCACAGTAAGTTTTGGCAAAGTCATACTTGTCCTTTCCCAGCAAACCAGGCCTGCAAAAAGACAAGCGCGATGTAAACCAATTAACCTGGAGAAAAGCAAGCAAATCAGGAGAGATGTAAACAGTGTGAAGAGAACTTGCCATAGCATATCTATCTGATGAAAAATGTCATACGGCCTATGATCACCTAGGAAGATGTGCAAAATTAAATATTAGAATGCACCAAACAGTGGTTAGCTACTGAGAAAAACAAAAAATAAGAAAGCTAAGAAGTTAGAGGAACTTGAGATAAGTAAAGAACAACATTCCAGAAATAATAGAGAACTGCAGACAATGCTGCCAATTTTCTTCAAAGGCCTGTGCTACAACCTTGACAAAGAAGGTGTCCCGGATAGTAAAACTATGCGCTTCACCTTTGCTGCAATGTCAAGAACAGCTTTTATCTGTAAACAAACATGATTAGATTAGCATATAGTAAAGTCTCTCTGCAAGTTTAGTACACATCATTAATTACTAGGAAAGTTGCAAACGAGCAATCTAGGAGACAAAATTTGAATACAAATAGTATCTTTAAACCACCAGTCATCAGAGCTGAAGACAACAATATGTATACAGATGACAATTTAGGAAGAAATTTTTGTTCCCTTAAATTAGTATATATTGCCCATAAACCACCATCCTAATTCAAAGACCGGAAAAAAATTCCAGGCCGCAAAAATTATGCATTTCATTTCCCAACTTATGGAGGTTGGCTTCACTTATCTATCTAGCCAGATAAGAATTTCATTTTCTAGTAAAGACAATAATAAACAGTCAGTCTAAATTTTGGAGCAATTTATACCACCAGGGTCTCATTAAACCAAATTTTATAAGAGTCATCAGAATCATTTGATATTTGATATGAAAAGGAATATGCTTTACCTCTCTAGGTTCTGATGCTTTCTTTGTGCACCGTACATGGTGGGATTCATCAACAATTAAGAGAGCCCATTCTCGGTCAAGCATGCTCCTATGCAAACGGTGAAGCATTGTATACGAAATAACCACAACTCTAGGCCATCTCTTTAAATTGGCTGGATTGTTTTCGTGACCAAATACTGGAGTCATAAGAATGTGTAAGAGTCCATTCATGTTTTGCTAGTAAATCTAGAATATGGATATATAAAACAATGTATCAAATGAATTTTCTAGGTTATAATGAGTTCACAATTCATTCACCAGAAATGCAAGCATAAAGAGCACCGGCAGATAAAAAAAATTATGTCAAAGAATAGTAGGTTTTTGGCTGGCTTGTTAAAAGTTATAAAGCATCAGTTCTAAAAAGAGAACAGAAAAACAAATTCTGAAATGATATATGCTTCACAAAATTAACTTTAACTAACACCACATCTCACCCCTTTTTACTAACAATTAATCACACTTTGTAATCATGTATCTACATATATTGCATATGCGCTCACTACTCTTATAGATAGGACTAAGGAACATATTCAACTAAGGAAATAAGCTCAAAGAACGATACCTGGGGTAAATTTGTGCATAGAAGAGGCCTAAAAATAGAACTCTCCAAAACCATGGGCATTTTTGTTTTCTTAACATTATTGGAACCAAACGGTTAATAACAAAAGTCCATTTACTCTGACTAGGCACTCTTAAATTACTTTTAATCTTATGTATTGCTATAATATTAACAAAAGGCAAAAACGACAAATCATACAGCATGGAATCAAGAAACTATTATTCTTCACTGAATACACAAGATTAAACCTTTTGTAGCAAAGTGTTTTCCCTGAGAATAGTTGTCTTTTCTTAAAGTACCTACCTTCCCCATTATTCTCCAACTTAAATAAGAATAAATTGGAAACAATATAGTAAACAACCCCCCCCCCCCCCCCCCCTTCCCCACATAAAAAAAAAAAAATTGAAAAAATAAAAAAAAAAAAAATAAAAAGAAAATAAGAGGAAAAAAAATTAAAAAAAAAATAAAAAACCCCCCCCCCCCCCCCCACTATTCCCCAACTTAAATAAAATAAATTGGAAACATTAAAAAAATATTACCTAGATGGAAGTCAGCAGGCAAGCAAAAAGGAAGCCAGCGCTCTAATTCTTCTGCCCAAGTATAACGCAAAATAGCTGGGCAAACAACAAGTATAGAACCTTCACTCATGAAACAGCATGCAATAGCAATAGCCTGGGAGGAAAAGTTTTAGCATATTAAATCTTATATCTTCATGGAAACTTAGGGAAAATAAGAGGAAAAAATTCAAATGCAGAAGATCCACCTGTTTGTGTATAAGTAATAAAGTTCAATCTCTGTGTGTGTGGTTATGAGAAAGCTAAAGAATATTGTAGTAGATGTTATCCAAAGCAGCATTGTAGCATTCTCACTCACTAAAAGTACATTACAATGTCTAAGTGCTGACTCAATGCATTGAACGGTTAGAATGTCAAACCTAGCACCATGAATAAGAATCAGAAGGAATATAAGTTTACTCAATATAAAACTACCTGGAGTGTCTTTCCCAGGCCCATTTCGTCGGCAATAAGACAACGTCCACCCCTTTGCAAACCAAATCTAACACCGTCAAATTGGAAAGGCAAGAGTGCATCCAATAGATTCTTCGGTAGCTTCCCAATCAACTCATCAACCTTATCATCTGACAAGTGTTCTGGTCTGCATGGTATCCATTTACCAGAAATAAAAGAATGTGAAAGTCTCTCTACAACATTAAGAGTGCCCCAAGGTATCTCTTCAGTGTCAATGCCCTTGTTGCTCCTTAAACATTTCAAGACTGCATTGTAATCACTCAGCTTGTAAACACAGGCCTTTCCACCACCATGATTTTGCGTGTAGTGGGATGGCATGACCTAAGACAATTCCAAAAACAAAAACAAAAATTTAGACACATATATAAATACTGAATACCAAACTTCACAGAACCAGAATTAAATTTCCTTTCTTTCCAATTTGTTCCACCAAGTTTTTGTCACCACCCGAAAAGGAAACAATAGAGACACACTTACATAAGCCAAGATATCACTTAGTCTCCTTAAGCACTCCTCCTGCCCCGGAAATGCAAAGCCTTGTACGGCAACTGGGGTAGCTGAGAAAGAATCCGGGGAGCAAATTTCGAGCCTGACCCGGAACCTCGTAGGCAATTGGGTGTTTATAATCAGGTTGACATGGGAAAGTTCTGGCCTTGGATCGGAGATACAGTGAGTGACGTTTGAGGTGAGGTCGGGAGAGAGCTTTCGGCACTTGAAGAGCGACCATGGGTTATGTTGCTGCTGAAGATTGGAGGATTCGCTCAATGCTTTGCGTTTTTCCAAGGCTGCTAAGAGATTTGCTTCGGCTCGTTTTCTTTGCTCTTCCGTGATTTCCATTTTGGGTTTAGGGATTTGAGATACAGTGAGGGTTTCGTAAAGGGCAAAAGGGCGGGAAATGGAACGATGGAAGCTGAAGAAGAAGAAGAAAATAATCGGAACAAAAGTCAGCACGTGCCAAGCATATTGTCCTCAACTGCAAAAGGACCAATTAACAATTATTTTCAGATATTACCCCAATTCGCAAATATCACAAACAATAAGGGCCTTATTGACTATCAATATTTCGTTTTTGATGTTAGGGACCGTTCGGAATTGTTTTTTAGCCCTTTTATTAGAAGAATCTCGAAATTTTTATTACAAATTCAAGTGTTTGAACTTTGAATACCAAAAAGTGTTTTATGAATCAAAGTCAGTTAAATTTTTTTTTTTTTAACATAAAGAGGAATTGTATAAAATAAAAGAAAGAGAGAAAAGCATAGTATTTTAGAAAGGAAATCGAACTTTAGAATTTAAGATGAAGAATGTAATATCTTTTATCGCCGATTTTTTATTATCAGTAATCATAAAAAAGATGTGGATTAGGGCCAAAGTAGACTTGCTTATGATTTTGTTGTTGTTAGTGTTTACATCTAGAATTACATCATTTTATACTTTTAATTAGTTATCATTTAATATAGATTAACACTTCACTCAGAGGTCTTGAGTATACTTTGCTGCTTCTGATTTTTTTTGTTTTGTTTCTCATTATAGCTCATAATTGAGTTGATCAAATTTATCTCTCACTTGATCATCACAACTCAAACACATAGGAACAGCTTCCTGTCTGTGCATGAAAACCCCAAAACCAAGCAAACCCAGATTCTCTCAATGTTTGACAATCAAGTAACCCAAACCCATCAAAAAAAGAAGTAACCCTAACCCAATGACCTTATCCTCGTCGAAAACTACGCAAACCCAATTACACACATCTGCTAGTTCTCCACCAACTTCCAAACCTTGGCTCATAGATTCATATTGTAAGTTGTTGCTTACTCTGGTGGGCCAGCAGAATCCGTTGTTGCTGTTATACCATTCCCTTCCAACGGAATAAGGAATAAAAGAACAGCTGCGAATCCATTGCTGGATTTCCATCTCCATTACCAAACTTCAAGAACAATACTGCACTTGGATATAATATGAAAGATGGTTTTGTGCCAGAGATGTCTTGAACAAACAGAAAGAAGACCAGAGAGATTAAAAAATGGAAACAACTTGTTGTATTTTGGAGAAAAGAGAGAGGATGAAGGAAGATCCCTTGCTTCCTTCTTCATAGATTCATGCAAACCGCAAAGCATATTTCCCCTTTGCTTGCTCACATGTCTCTCTGCATGAGCAAAAATGTGAGATAACCGATATCACAGCCTGTGCTGCTATTTTCATTGCAACCAAACACTTAAATATGTGAAGCCAGGAAATTCGGACAAAGAATCCGCAACAGTGGTTTTAGACAGCAATGATACTTTTATCAAGCAAAAGAGGTACCTTCGAACCCTATTACTGATGACTTATAGTTTCTTGCCCTCTCCTTTGTCAAAATTTTATTCAACTCAGGCACAATAAAACCTCTAATTTCCAGGATACATTTAGTATATATATGCTTGGTTTCTTTCACAAAACGTTGGTTTCTGCTGCTTCTGCATATTATCAATATTGACGGAAACTCGAACAGATTGATGACCACTTTGCTAAAGTGAGATTTTCGGGTCCATAACCAAACAAGCAAGAAGGATCAAGATCACACTAAAGAAAGAAAGCCACCACCTTAACAAGCAGAATCTTTAGGTAGGTATATGCAGCTAGACTTGCAATATTGTGAAAGCTATTCTTTTATTTATGGCTTAGTTGAAAACAGAATGCTCTGTTCTGTTCTGTTTTGTTATGTGGTTGATCTATGGAACAAAGAGAACTAAAAGCGTAAGAATGCTCAAGAAACTTCCACTGACTATTTTTTGTAGATAACAAGGGGCAACACTGGTTCCCAAGGCAGTGCGGGGAAAATGAGTCATTATTCTGATGCACAAGATGTCGAGTTTTCAACTGCAGTTGCAGCAGCTGCATTTGCTATTCACTCCAATGAAGAAGCTAGATTACAGTATCAAAAAGGGATGAGGGAAAGCCTTCAGATCTCAAGGACGAAGACTTTGCAGGATGCCATGGCGGGGCGGCCAAGTTCTGGTGAAGTGAATAGGCGATTATCAAACAAAGAAGCAAAGAATGCTGGTACCTGACTGCATATATTATTTTTTTCATAACAAAATTAAAATGTTTTTGAGTACTAACAGGTTATATACTTAATAGGTGAAGCTTCAATGAGAAGGCCAGTGGGGCAGGATCAAAGAACATTGGAGAGTGCTTTTCCATCTAGGTATCCAAATCGCGCATCCTCTACAAGGCCTTCAACTCCTGCAGATGGATACCAAAACCGAAGGGGAAGTTCAACAGGACATAATACTCTGGAAACTGAAGCAGATGCTTGGGAGAAAGCTCAGATTAAGAAGATCCAGAGGCGGTAAAAACCAATTTTTGGGTGGTTCTATTATTATAATCTTTATATTAAAAAATAGTCATTGTTGAAAGCTTGCTTAAATGCTGCTTAAATTTCTAAGGAACACTTCAGTTTCTTCCTTTTGAAACGGTAAATTATCATTTTCAGGTATGAGAAAGTGAAATCTGCAATTCTTGCTTGGGAAAATGAGAAGAAGATGCAAGCAAAAATTAAGATGGAGAAGAGAAAGGTACAGTATAACAATCATTGTTTTTTAATTTAAGTTTGTGAACACCAATGACGAAGATCACCCCTCAATGAGTTGTTGAAATTACAGAGTGAATTGGAGCAGAGAAGAGCAAGCAACATGCAACATTATCAAATCAAGCAGACAAGAATTGACCAGATAGCAGGAGGAGCAAGGGCACAAATGGAAGAGAAAAGAAGAAATGAAGAGTCCAAGGTGAGAGAAAAGGTTAAAAGGATTAGATCAAAAGGCAAAGTTCCTGTTAAATGTTTCTGCTTCACTTGCTACTAGGAAGGGAATCACTTGGACTTGAGAAACTTTGTCTTGGAGCAATGAAGCTGCCAATGGATCTTCTGCTGATTAAATCTGTACATTAACTATATTATGGCTTCCTAACAGTATATCCTAACTTACTTTAATTTGTAAATGATGTATAAAGATTTCGGATCATGAAAGTTCGAAAATTGTGTTGTATATGTTTATCCAATAAAACTATAGCCAGTCAAGAAAAATATTACTACAATTTGGCCCTTTGATTTCATGAGGACTTGATACAAAAGATTCTGCAGGCACAGAGAATTGCATGCTGAGATACTTCTTTGCACTTGATGTCTCTCTAAGCAGATATTCTTAACCTAATATCAACCCTTAAGCTGATACTGCCTCGCATACGTTCAAAATTCTTATTTGTTACAACTTTGCCACTATAATATCATAAAGTATTGAAATGGATATGAACAACTTTTCATTTGATGTCCCTCTAAGCAGACGTTGATTTGGATATTTAGATGGGACATTTTATACTTTCCTCATTTCGGAGGGGAAGGACTCAACAGCTGGGCCATTATGCTGGATGAAATTACCTTCATAACAAGATAGCTGCATCCACCAAAAATGACATTGTTTCCAACTGCTACCTCTTCCTCTAGCACCCCACCCCCTATCAGATGTACACATCTTGTCCTCATACTTTGGACAAAATAAATTATTAACCTTGCTAATCTGGTAGTTATTAACCTAAATTAGTTATGTACTTGGAAAACCTAACACGGTAATCTTGTCTGGAAAGCATTTCAACATTGGCTTCAACTAGTATATCTATGCATCAGATTTATGAAGGCATTTCCTCTAGATTGACATGGAAGATAAGTCAATGTAAAACAGGATATATTAAGCTATTATTTTGAAACATGGATGCATATACAGCCAAATTGTTTGCTGGAAGATAATGGAAAAGGAGAAATAAAGGTAACCAAAGTAGCATGAGAGGGAAGGCAATCAATTTAGACCACGAAAGTATGGTTAAGCATGACTTTAAGTGGACCTGAAGGTGTGGTTGGTTCCCACCAAAATCATCATCACAAGGCAAGGTCTAAACTCTAGCATCACTAATGTCTGCCAGTAGAGCCTATAGCTTCAGAAAATACAAGAAAAATAGGAGAAATTGTTCCTGAAGATGGAGCACAGTGGCCCCAGCTGTCAAGGTGTTGGACAAAAAACAAAGAATGGCCTCTATTTTTCAAGCTAATCAATCATCTAGATAGGCTAGCTAACACTAAACTAGAAAGGACATAACACTTGTGTGTTTAGACTATCTGAGTATTACATACATATACATAATATATATATATGTGTGTGTGTCACATGTGTATAAAATCGTCCAAAAGTCATACTTGGTCTCAAGTTGCAGCAAAAGATAGAGATAGATAGAGAGGGAGGGAGAGAAAGAGAGATTTTCAATTTCAAACCAAACTCTATCTGTCAAATTTAATGTTTTCATAACTTGCATTGCATGATATGATTTGAATCAACTAGACGTGTCGTCTTGACACCATGATGTGCAGATTGCCCACTTACCAGGGCCAAGATCATTAGGGCAAACTATTTTCACAAAACCAATTTCCCAATGTGACCAACTTTTTATCATTGCTTCACAAAACTCGAACATTAGTTCGAAAATCATGATCGGGTTAGAAAATTTTGAACATTAGTTTTCGGAAAATGCATTTAACATTTGTTAATCTCTCAAAGATGACATGAAGATCCTTTGAAATATATATTGGTCCAGGGAAAGGGAAACGGTGGAGCCAAAGCATATCCGATTCCTCTCAGGCTTCTTTTGGCTACCACATGTTTTGTGTAAAATCTCCATCACAACAAATGTGAGTGTGACACCAAAAAAAGGGACCAGAAGACGATGAAATAAGAGAGACTAGTTGCTATTGTCCAAACTCAATCTCAAACTCATCCATTTTCTTCCTTTTTTTAAGAGAGATCTAGAATTATCAATGAGTGAGTGTAGACTGTAGAGTTACCAAATTGGAAGAATATTCAAAGGCACCCTCTAGACAAGAACAAGTCGAAGGAGAAGAGATAGAGAAACAGATCCTCTCACGTGCACATGCAGCAGAACCACCCCAACACCAGTCGTCATGTCCCCTTGTAAGCACCATCCTTCTTCATATTTAACTATATGAGGTTTTCTCTTTCTTAATTTCTGCTTTTTATATGGAGTTTTGATCAACGTGCATGGTAGATAGAATATAATTAACCCAACTGTGTGTGTTTTCGTTCTCTTTGATTTTCTCCACCATGCTAGTTTTGTTTGTCTTTGTTTTTCTTTCTTGTTCAATGCCATTTACATCGTTACAAGTCACAACACTCACATGCTTCTTCAATGTTCTACAAAACCCACTTCCATTCTTCTGTGCTCTATATCAATCTTCCTTTTACTTGCACATAATTTACAAAAATGCTTGAAAAGTACAGGTCCACCTATGACGTTAGAGAGCTAAAATTGGAAAACGGCCAATTGGCCATGCATGGCCTTGGTGGGCTTCTTCCCACATCCCAAGCGAAGCACACATGGGGCAGGGCTGGTGACACACTAGAATCCGTGGTTCATCAAGCTACTCACCACAAACGTGAACCAAACTTGATCCACAATGGCCAGACACCGGCCAACATAAGCTCAATGGTTGCATCCTCCGGGCGAACATGGACTGACGAAGGAGGCCAGGTACCGTTGGCAGAGGAATGGATGAGGAAACGTACTCGATCTGACTCCGATTACCATGGAAACAATTTCAGTGGTAGCACTACCAGCATTCATGAAGAGCATGCAGATCCCAGCACTTGTGCTAGTCCTAGTCCTAGTGCTAGTGCTAAATTGTGCAGGGACAATGAAAAAACTATGACTACATGGGCTTCGTTTGAGTCTCTTCCCAGCTTGAAGAGTACCAAAAGCCCCGACGAGGATTCAGCCTCTCACGGGGGATTGGTAATATATACATGTATATATACATATATATATATATATATTTTAATCAACTTTTATTTTAAATAATGTTACATGCATCGTATTTACATGTCACATATGTGACAAATTGTACTTTTTCATTTAACAGGAAAACCAAGATGATGGCCAAGAGACCACCAAAGATGGTGAATCAGGTCGTTCCACAAGACCAAAGCGTGCTGCTGCTGTTCATAATCAGTCAGAGCGGGTAACAATTTAATTTTGGTCACCCCAAAAAGGAAAAGAACGCATTTTGTCAGATAATTAATCCAAAATAATTTTCTACGGTGTGATGATGTTGTAGAAACGAAGAGACCGGATAAATCAGAAGATGAAAGCCCTGCAAAGGTTGGTGCCAAATGCAAGTAAGGTGAGAAATGTTGACAAGTGCTTAGGATCATAATTTGTTTGGGAACTATTCTGTGTCATCCTTGGCAAACATTAATTTTTTTCCACTTGGTATATTAATTACAGACTGATAAGGCTTCAATGCTTGATGAGGTGATCAAATACTTGGAACAACTTCAAGCTCAAGTCCAAATGATGAGCAGTGTGAGAAATATGCCTCACATGAATATGAATATGAATATGATGATGCCTCTAGGAATGCAGCAGCAGCAGCAGCATCTTCATCAAATGTCATTCTTAGCACATATGGGCATGGGTGGTAATGTTGGTCCTCTTGGGCTAGGAATGGGAATGGGAATTGGAATTATTGACATGAGCAACAATATGGCACGCATGGCTGCTCATGCTCATCATCAATCTATTCGCCTGCCGATTCCTCATCCTACTCCGGTTGTGGCGGCAGCTCCTACTTTCATTCCACCCTTTATGGTACCCCCATTGATGCCACGACACCCTCCTTCTCAAGCAAAGCCTGACTCTGCTTGCACCAATGCTTCAGACTCTTTGCCTGATCCATATGGTGCCCTTCTAGCACAAGTATGTTTTGCACAAAAATATATGGGCTTGGGCAACACCTACTATGAAAAATGACTGCTAAATAATAGCCTAAATATGTGAGCAAATTATATATGGATATCATTAGAGAATCCCTCTGAGAAGAAGCAATGCTACCAAAGTTAATTTTCAAAAAATTGAAATGACCCCTTTCACCAAAGTTAATTTGTCTCGTTAAAAGATGGCAGGAAGTTCTTTTTATTTATTTTTGGGTGAGTTTCTTTGAGCTAACTTAATATCAATTGATTTGCAGCAATCAATGAATATGGACCTGTTCAATAGGATGGCAGCACTATATCACCAACAAGTCAATCACACAACAGCGGCAACTAGCAGCCCATCACAGTCAAACCATGTGCAAGGGAACTAATTAGCCCAACTTAGAAGACGAATATTGGGAGCACAAGAAGTTCAAAAAGAAAAACTTCAAATATTGCCTGCCTGGCCTAGTTGATGGTGAAATGTGACTTTTATCATTATCTATATTAATTACTAAGCTATGCCCTCATGACATCAATCTAATAAAATGTACGTGCCATTTCTGATGTGAGTTTTGAACCATAGCAATTAATTTGATCTCAAGTTATCAATGTACTTATATAATGGTGCCTCATCAATTCAAATTGCCATGGTAATAGCAAAATTAATCTCAATATGACAATAGAAAATTATAAAACGATAATACACAGCTCTTTCAGCAAACCTGTAGGTAGCAATAAACACAAGAAAAATGTTTCATATTCTCAGAGAGCCTTCTCACCTTGATTCAGTTTCTCTTCATCACAAATTCCTGTGACTTCAATCCCATGTGACCTCCAAAACTAGTGTTCTTGTTTTTCTTTTCACTCTTTTTCTATAAATATTTTCAAATATGTACAGAATAGCTATATGTATTTTGTAAATCAGCATGCATCTTCCACTGTCGAGGGTCTGGCATCCTGAAGAGAGATCACAGTCTCAAAAGCACCAACCAAGGCCTTGACTTTACTCTTCCTGGATTCGACAAGCCTACTGGCAGTCTCTTTAATCACATTATTGAACAATTTCTGGACATCCTTCCTTCCTTTCACATCTTGGTGTCTCAACACAACTTTCTCAGGACTAGTGTCAGTACCATTCAACATGCCAGCACGACCATATTTTCTCCTGAAGCTCTTCCTTCGGGAACCTTCCAAATCTCGTTCGTGGTTTTTCATAACAACTTTCTCACGTTTGATTTTAGCACCATTTGACTGACTGTCATCAACCTCCTTCCTCCCAGTGCTTCCCTTTTCAGTACCAGCATCATTTGACTCACTGTCATCAACGTCCTTCCGCCCAATGCTTCCCCTTTTGATACCAGCACCATTGGACTGACTATCATCAACTTCCTCCCTACCAATGGTTCCCCTTCTGATAGCAGTGCCATTTGACTGATTGTCATCAGCTTCCTTCCTCCCATTGATTTCCCCTTTGATACCACTTCTTCTGTTTTGGGTGTCCCTCGCCAATCTGACTCTCCTGAATTTGAGTCTCCTTGGAGTATTGTTCTCAGGCTGGAGGTCAACCACCCTTCCTCTCCTGAATTTTAGCTTTCGGGCTAGGCTGTTTTTACTGTCAGAGCTAAGTACTCCAGACCTTCGAGGCCTAGTCTTGCGCTCCGCCTTTAAATTTACTATTTGATTATCAGTATTCATTGTATTGTGTTGAGAGGTGGCACCACTTTCTTTTTTATGAGTGGACTGAGATGGGGAGATGGGCATGGATGATGATGCGGGTGACGAAGAAGATAAAGATGCTAGAGTACTACGTCTCAACCCTTTGTTATCGGGGCATAGAGGAGCAGGTGAACGGCCATAACCTCCATTTGCAGTACGTTTCAGTTTTGTCTTCTCAGAGGATGGAGGTGATTGAATGCTACCAATTCCCTTCCTTGCTTGCTTCAAGCTTTTGACTTTCAAGGGTGTGGGTGATAATAACTTAGGAGCATTAATGCCATTTGGTGTTAGTTCCACAGTACTATTCTCAGTATTTGATTCAATAACGTACTGAATCTTTTCTGGCATGTCCTTATTGCATGATCCCTCAGGCTCAACTTCTCTGGGATTGTTTTGATCTTTCAGATGAGACGACCCTTTGACTTTCTCACAGCTTCCAGTATTCACATTGGAGACTCTCTTGACCGGGTGCATGGAAGTCAAAGAAACAGTTTCAGGCCCCAACATCTTTTTCTCAACCAATACAGAAGTCCTCAGGGTTCTGCTGCTGATTTTTCTATTTCCTCTGCTGCTTGAACCTTCTAGTATTTCCTTGACTTTTCT